ATGGCGGGGTGCGGGGGTCAGTGGTCCCCACTGCAGGGGTCCGAGGGTAAAACCCCCACCCCGGCTCGGGCCCCGGGGATCCCCGCATGAGAACGCTGGTTCTGGAAACCATCCCTGGTCCCTGGACCCTGCCTGACCAGTAAGGACAGCAGGTGGCTTTCATTGGTCTCGAAGGGATTCTGGAAAGTGAGTCATATATATTTGGAATGATAAGAAGACAGATTGGATCGAAGGAAAATCTGAAAGTTCAGCAACTGAGGAGACACTTGCCCGGAATCCACAACCTATCTGAAAATCTGTGAAATGAGCCAAGTACTCGTCAAGTTCAACCTCACATACATCAATGAACATTCACATGAGAGTTCACGCATGAGAAGCCCAATCGAGATACAATCAACACATGAAGATGTCGCCTCCAATTTTAATATCAATATATAAGAATGTTTGTCTCCAGCGGCTCTGCCGTACACACACACACATCGGATCTCATCTAGGTGGCGGCTATGGCTTCTCTCTTCTCTCTCTCTCTCATAGTCTTGCTCCTCTCTCTGGCTTGGCTCGCTCGGACTCACTCTCTCTGTCTCTCACTTCCTAGGGCGTCACCCTGGATACACCCACTCAGGTAAGCTTGCACCTTGGCGGCAATGGCCGTCCTCCTCTCGCGCTACCCCTAACCTGGCCATGGAGTAACTTGCGAGCGCCCTCTTCTTCTTCAGGCACGCAGTTCCCAAGTTGCCTTCACGCACAAGCAGCAGCAGCCCTTCCGCATTTCGCAACTGAACAAGTGATGAGCCGCTGCACTGTAGCAGCTAAATATAGGACATGCCTTGGCTTGGCCTGCTTCAGACCAGTACCGGTCGGCCGCGGCCTGTCTGCTGCAAACATTTTGTCGGTCCGGTAGCTTCTGGACTGTCCTGGGACATTGATACATGCCCAGTGGGGCAATGTATGTAGAGCCAAGGATCCACAATGTGATGAAAAGGAGTGAATGGACAATGCAATGTCAGTGGAACATCAACAAGCAATGTACATCCTGATACATACAAAATGGCACATAGTAGCGCAGTGGAAGACTTTAAGATAAGTTCTGACCTGACTGGGACTGACACGACATCCCATCATACATCACACATGTGAGAGGAGAAGGAGGGACCGCACACGAAGAAAGGTCCCTCCTTGTACACGCACATGGGGAGGTACCATAGACGAGCAATGGGGGAAGAGGAGGGACGAAGATGGAGGCGAGGGAGAAGTCCAAGATCGCAATAGCGAAGTCCAAAAATAGTCCCTTGCTGATGTCCAATCAATGTCTGCCTCAGAAATGTCGAATCAGATCGTGGGCACAATGCCCACTGTAACCTCTGCCCGTATCCTCTGCCCGTAACCTCTCTCACTCTCGTATCTGAAGAAGAAGAAGATGAAGAAGATGAGGAAGATGAAGAAGGAGGAGATATGGAGGGCGAGAAGGGAGAAGAAGATGTCACCGTCCTCGCTGCCTCACCTGCAGGTAACAGCCGCCGTGTTGACTGCGGTGGTTGTCCTGTGCAGGTACCGCGTGGAGATCCCAGCTATGGCACCAGGTAAGTTCGCCACTACAGGTATGGCCTCCGCCTCTCACTCCCACCTATACCTCTCCTTCCACCCTTGCAGCGCAGCACCAAAATAGCGCAGCCTCCATCCAGCAGCGTGTCGCTCAAGAAGTGAGCTACTCCAACTGTTCAGTTCCCAGGGTGTGGCCCGACTATATACTGCGCTGGGCCCTACTGGGTAGGCTGCTGTGTGGCGTAGAACGGCCCGCACGGTTGGGACCCCTACCGGGTGCCCAGACCGTGCTGCTGATGCAGCAAGGCGCAAAACTGCGCCTGGGCCTGTTTGGCCCTGCCTCCAGTGCACCCAGCCCAAGGCCGTGCCTTGGGGACTGCAAGTCCGAAACGGCGTCTGAACAGACAAAAAGGGACAGCACATTCAAATGTGAGCATTGAACCCTCAAAGGGGCCTTGCCGTGATGTACATGTACTGGGCTAAGGCCCCAGCAAGCCTCGTGCCCGCCCTAAGTGAAGGCGGGCCTGCAAATCAACGAGAGCCCTCTGTGCAAACATTTCACGAAGTGGGGTCCATACAGTTGCCGCACGCCAGTTGGTTGGAGTGCACCGAGTATCGGATCTTTGCAAATGCAGAAATCCCAGGGCCCCAGAGTTGGTTAGGCCCTGGGCACATAAACGTGAGGCCGACAATGCATGCTGGATATAGAGGCCGAAAATGCCAATGGGAAATCGGTCCACTATCTGAATCTGGCCGCAGGCCTTGATGAAAGAGGCGCAACTGCATCTCCTGGGCCCCAACCGCATTGGGCCTGTGTACAGGTACTGGGACCCAGGCGCAGGCTCAAGGGAGGCCGCCCACACGCAACACTGGCATATAGGCAGGGAGGGCGAGTGGGCAGGGATCTTGGCCATTGCGAGCAAGGCCGGCACGCTGCTGTATTGCGAGTGTGCTGCGCTGCGCCAGGCTGAGTGAGGGCAGGCTAGCGCTAAGCGGTAGACTGCACCCTGGGCGCAGGGCGCTGGCGGCCATAGCCGGGCTGCCTGTGGGCACAGAGGAGGTGAAGGGCGAAGGTGGTTCTTCGGAGGTGAAGGGCGCTGTGTGGGATCACAAGGGAGAGTGAGGGAGAAGAGAGAGGCGTACCTGGTGGAGAGGAGGTCGGCATTGGTGTTGACATCATCACTCGCTGGTCATCAAGTTGTCTGGTTGCTTTCATGCTGTAGTCGTAGTGATAGGCTGTAGAGTAGGTAGGGCGCCWGGCGCCATTCAAGAGAGAGAGCTACATTGGGTTATGCTGTTGGTGTTGCCCGATTGGGCTTGGACATTGACTCACGATTCTTCTGTATCGTTCTCAAATGGATGGTTACTCGGTTCCATTGTGCTATCTGCTCTTGCTTTGACTACTTGGACTTCAGTGTGATTTTGCAATCTGGATTTCTGTGCTTCGTCCACATTCATGTTCCTTGCACAAATAAATAAATAAATAAATAAATAAATAAATAAAGAAATAAAGAAATAAAGGAGTGCTGTCCTAGGCTGTACCTGCGGTCTAAAAGGCCGCCGTGGGCCTCCAGGGTGAGCGCTGAATGGCGCGCGGCCTGGGGACCCCTTTAGCAACCGTCGGGCCCCTCAAACGGGGCCCGTGTGCAGGCGCAGCATATAACAGACATGCTGCAAAATTGGACCTGGGGACTGCGGACTGGACTGAACGCTTCTGGACTTTTCTTGTCGGTACCGGATGGACTCCTACCGACCTACGATGCTTCAGTACTGACACCTACCGACCTACGACACTTCGGCCT